TACAGAGCGTTCCCAGAACTGTTCCTTTACCTCTGTTACCAAAATTAAGAATTGAAATTGATAGATTGCTAAAATTAGGGATAATTGAACCCATTGAAGATCCTACTTCTTGGGTCAGCCCAATTGTTTGTGTGGACAAGGGAGATTGTGTACGGCTTTGTGGTGACTATACTAAACTTAATGAAAACGTGTTACGGTCACATTTTCCTCTCGGGAAAATATCTCATACACTAGCACAGTTGAAAGGGTCTAAATTCTTCTCAAAATTGGATACCACAAGTGGGTTTTACCAAATAAAATTGAATAAGGAAAGTCAGTTGTTAACAACTTTTATAACACCTTTTGGCAGATTTTTCTTTAAAAGGCTTCCATTTGGTATATCTTGTGCCCCAGAGTATTTTACTATGAGATTTTCAAAAATCTTAACTGGCATTGAAGGCTGTGTTGTCCATATAGATGACATTCTTATTCATGCAAGGACAATAGAGGAACATGACAATATTTTGAACACAGTCCTAACAAAACTTCATAAGGAAGGTATTACACTAAATAAAAACAAATGCTCTATAGCAACAAAAACAGCTAAATACTTGGGTCATATGGTCTCTGAGCAAGGGATATTAATTGATCCAGATAGGGTTAAAGCTATCCGTGATTTTCCTGAACCAAAAAATAAGACTGAGCTGTCAAGATGGCTGGGTATGATTAATTTTGCTGCAAAATACATTCATAATAAATCTGAGATTCTTGAACCATTAACACACTTACTAAAAAAAAATATTAACTTTTTGTGGGGTCCAGCACAAGATAAAGCTTTCAGCACTTTAAAAACAAAAGTTAGAGAGCCCTCCAAATCTAGCGTTTTTTGATGCTAATAAAACCATAATTGTTAGTGCAGACTCAAGTTGTTTTGGTATAGGTGCATGTCTATTTCAAGAAAATGTAGATCATACTCGGGAAATAGTGGCTTTTACATCTAGGCTTCTGAACTCAGCTGAAACACGATACGCTCAGATTGAGAAAGAAGCTCTTGCACTTACATGGGCAGCAGAATATTTTTATGATTTTATTTCAGGAGTTCCTAACCTAATTTTTGAAACAGACCATAAACCTTTACTACAAATTCTGCAAACTAAAAATTTAGATGAGTTAACGCCACGTTTGCAAAGATTTCGAATGCGTTTAATGCGATACAAGTATACTGTAATCTACACGCCGGGAAAAAATTTAATTGTAGCAGATACTTTAAGTCGGGCCCCTTTACAAACAGATACGTTAGCTAATAAAGAACTAACTGCTGAAACTGCAGCATATGTGCAGTCAATTATTCATAATTTACCAATTAAAGATTATTTTTTTGAATTTAATAAAAACAGAACAAGAAAATGAATATATTTGTAAAAAACTAAAAGAATATTCTTTGTCTTCTTGGCCTGAAAGATCTAAATTGCCATTTGAATTGTTGCCATACTATCAATATAGATATGAAATTTCCTATTCGGAACAATTACTTTTAAAAGGGTCTCGCATAATCATTCCTAAGAGTCTTCAACTCAAGGTGTTGGAATTTATTCATACAGGCCATATGGGAATTGTAAAATGTCGAGATCGTGCCAAACAGAGCGTTTGGTGGCTGGGTTTGTCATCCCAGATTAATAACCTTGTCACACATTGTCCCCAATGTGTTGAACACAGAGTAAATCATAGAGAAACATTTCATAAAGACAATACTGTACAAAGGCCGTGGCAAAAACTGGGGGTTGATTTGTTTAAATGTTATGATAAGTGGTATTTGATTGCCACTGACTACTTTTCACATTGGTTTGAAATTTTTACTTTAACCAATATGACAGAAGATGCCATTATTCCTAAGCTTAAAGATATTTTCTCTCGTTATGGTATCCCAGAGGAAGTTAGATCCGACTGTGGTACTCAATTTTCATCAAAATTTATAAAGTTTTCAAAAGAATATAATTTTGTTCATACGACGAGCAGTCCGCACTGGCCTCAGAGCAACGGTGGAGTGGAACGCACTGTACAAATTGCAAAAAGATTAATTCAGAAAAATAAAAAAGAGGACCTAAGTTTGGCATTGTTAGCATATAGATGTACACCCCTAGAATGTGGTGTTTCACCTTCTGAATTATTAATGAATAGAAAATTAAGATCTAACTTACCCCAGCTTCCAAGCTTATTAAACTTTTCAAAAGAACCAAACACTAAAAATAAAAAAGAATGAAATAAAGGATAAACAAGTGAAAAACTACAATAAGCGACACAATGCCAAGGATTTAGATCCTCTTAAGGTTGGTGATTCTGTGTGGGTGGTTGATATCAGGAAATATGGGCGAGTTGTTGCGATCTGTCAGGAACCCAGGTCCTATATAATTGAAACTGAAACCGGGAAATTTAGAAGAAATAGATGGCATTTGATTCATGCACCCTACTGTTTCCCTGTATTGAGCACCCAACCAGAATCCTCAAATGATTATGTTCCGCCAATTTCTAGTAACACAAAGCTAATGCCTTGCTCTAATCAAAGCAATGGTGACATACAGGGTAAAATAATGGAGGAAAGTAGTAGGGGGGAACCCAGTGTATTTCAGGACAAAATCGAACAAAGTGGAAATCATGTTTTACCTCCATCGGGTCAGGATAAAAGCGATAGTGTATCGGACTTTGAGTGCGTAAAGCCTAGCAGGCCAAAAAGACTTGTGAAGAAACCGGTTCATTTAACAGATTATGTTTGTAGTAGTTTAAGTTAGTTTAGGTATAAGATCATTAATGACACAGGGATCTTTTATAAAAAAAAAGGAGATGTGTTGTTAGCTTAGATTAAGATATAGGCGCCGGAGTTAGGCAACACAGATGACAGGGATGTCATGTGAACGTAGCCGAAGCTCGGGCAAGCATGTATGTTTGAGGGTTGAGAATAAACTGATGTTGTGAAGTAACGATTATTATTTGTAACCCCTCTTTGATAACACGACAATATATATATATATGTAACGATCTTAGGAGTGAGTTTAGTTGATAAGAAAATACCGAACTGTAAAGTTATAAATAAATATGTTTATATAAATTCGAACCGCTCGTTTTATTTAAAAGGGACTGCAGCCTGGAGGTCCATTTCGTGTCAGAAATAAACCAGTATGACCAGTGTGGTCAAGAGATTAGCTGAACCTATCTTTAATTGAGGACGAAATATCACTGCTGATAATTGGTTCACCGACCTAACTCTGGTCAGCGACTTGAAAAAGAATACACTATCATATGCAGGGACAGTCAGAAGAAAGAAACGTCAACTACCATCTGAATTAGTGGGTACAGCAAACAAACCAATACAATCTAACTTTTTTGCTTTAAGTGAAGATTGTACCGCATGTGCCAAAGAAGGAAAAAAACGTAATTTTAGTATCTAGTATACACTTCGATGACGTAGTAAATTCAGATATGCACAAGCCAAAGATAATCAATTATTACAATCAAACGCAATCAGAGGTTGACACTGTAGACCAAATGGTTGGTTCGTATAATGTAGCTGGAAACAGCAGAAGGTGGCCTATGGTGATGTTTTACGTCGTCTTGAATCTTTTAAGTCAGTTATTGTCAGAGCAAAGAAAACGGTGATCGGATATTAGTTCAGGTATTCACAGACCATTGCAGCTTCAGCTTCAGAAACATAAGGAGGAAAGTTCAACTCGTGGGGCAGATCCAGATGTTACTAAAACGGACAATGAAAGAAAAAGGTGTTCTTGCTATGTGACAAAGACGACGCGTTTGTCCAAATACTATTGTAAATGTTGTACCATATTTTTATGTGTTGAACATAGGAATATTGTTTGCAACAGTTGTTATAACCGTTTTACTAATAATTCCGCTGATGAATCTGATTAAGTTTAACTAAATCTTCCATATGTGTTTGGGTTATTTTTGCCTTAGATTAGTAACAATAATAACAGTTATTACATGTTTTTATTTTGTTATGTTCTTAATACTGCATTTATTTTATTTTCGCTTGACAATAAATTAATTTAAATCTGCTTCTTTTTTAATTAGTTACGTTCAAAATAAACGTTTCTTCCGATTTCGATAAGTTTTTTTCAATCTTATTGAAACATTAAACTTAAAACGAATGTATCTCTGAGATACACCGCGACCTATACAGTACACTTTATGACCGCGACCTCCGAAGAGTTAAACAACTAAAAGTTGCTGATAGCATTCCTATTCCTACTGAACTTTTTAAAACATATGGTGTAAGTACACAAGCTAATGCATCATAGACGAATAAGTACTCATTTAAAAACATTTTAATTTACCAGAGGACTGAATAAGATATATGTATAATTCACAAAAATGGGAATAAACAATTTGCGACAAATACAGGAGAAATACTTTCCTAAACGTGGCATTCAAAATACTGGCTTATATTTTTCATCATCTTTACGATCAAATATTCTTAATAAGACAAATCAGAAAACAGATAATATGAACATGTAATTGACATCCACCACCTGTATGTGTGTTTATTCACACATATCACACAGTTCAAAAAGAATGGGAAAAAGAAACAATGTAAAGGGTATCAAAAATACAACACGAGAAAAGTTAAAATTAAACATATTCGAAAACAAAGAAAACAGATTCAAAGGAGCTTCTGAAAACCTTTAAATAAAATAATACATTATTTCAGTAACTAAATCACAAAAGTGATTTTTTCAGTCTTATTTTCCCAATAAATAAATATACCTTCGCTAACTTATAAAAATTGATCAACTTGATCGATTATTGAAATTTTACAATGACAGACAGTAAATGTAGGCAATTATTAATTTCTAAAAACAGTTTTAATTATAAAAAGCAATTGATTTGTGGTTTTATTAACTTTTTTGTCTAGGGCGCAAATGTGCGTGCTACATGAAATTTTGAAACCCCGCGCAGCGATCGAATCAGCGTAGGGCACTGCGCAGTCTCACTGACTATCATTTGTTGGCCGGCCTGGTTGGAGCAAGCAAGGTGAGGTTTTGCATATGTCTGATAAAAAATAATTTAGTTTTCGTGTACTAAGATTTTTGTAGTAGCTGTTATTGTGTGTAAAATTATTAAGTTTTGCTTTTCAATAGTTCGTAATTTACAGGAAAGCTCTTTAATTGGTTTTCATTTTTTGTGCAGATTTTTCTATTGGAAGCCATTAAAAACCAGACTCGCTGTCAAAATACACACTGCAATAATGCAGTATAATAACGTTTATCATAATAACACAATGTAAGTATATAATTTTCATGTTTTAAAAAGCTATGCAGAATGTTTTTATCTGTTGCCATTTACTATTATCTCAAAGAAATTCGTGAATTATTGTAATAGTAAGCCACCATTTTGGTTTTGGGGATTCTGAAAGTAGATGTCAAATCTATAAAATTAAATGTAAACTTTTAAAACTTCCAATGACCTCGAAATATTTCGATAATGGGTACCGTTTCTAGTTAAATTAATGGATGGCCTAATTAAATATTAACAAGGAAAGTACTTGTATTGCTCATCATTATTTTTAATTATCTAATTAATTATATATCAGATGTTGTGAGAAACATTTTTACTTCTATTGCATGTACGATATGTAATGACATTGCAACTTAACCAATATTTGACCAACGTTTCTGACAAATATAAACATAATTTTTTTTGCAACCTTTTAAATAATCCAATGGCGATGGCTAAAATTCATCCTTAGGACTTTTATATGTAATTCCCTACTAAACTAGGTTTAGGTCTAGACCCGATCGAGCTGGTGACATGTACAGTAAGCAACAGCAGTCAAACTATTGGTGCGGACCTCCTCACGCCATGGCCCCCATTCAAGACTTTGGTGGTCCAAAACAACAGTACAAAAAGAAACAGAAACCTGAAAACAACATGCAGTTGGGTGTCCCTCTTTGGCAAGAACAAGACCTTAAACCATTCAGGTACGTATTTTTATATACATGTATGATATTATTCAAACAAGTCTCTTTTACTCATATAATCTAAAATCGTCAAATTAGCCCCCTTGTGGGCCAACAATGGAATTTATTAAACAAAATACAGCACATGACATCGGTATTAGGATTGATAATGTCAAAATAAGGGTGTTCATATTTATGACGTAATTTTTAATTTCGTAAGGTAAGTACATATCGCACCTTGAAAACAAAAGTGGCATTATCCCAAAAACTAAATATTTCAGTATGACCGTTTAAAGTTTTTCGAAAAGTTCTGTAATGGATATTGAACTAAAATAAACCGAATTAAATACTATAATTAATGTTATTCAACAGTTTGATTAAAGCACAGTTAGCTTCTACCGAAGAAGGCAAATTAATAATGTAACTACTAATTTAGAAAAAAATCTTTAAAAAAAATTCCTTATAGTGCCACTTTTGTTTTACATAAAAGTTCTGATCATTAGAATAAAAAGTCAAGTTAATATTTACCTTATGATAAAAAAAGAGAAAAATAAAACGAAATTGTGTCATATTAAAAAGAAAAATTGTTTATTTGATAAAAGTGAACAAACTGTTATTAATACTTAATGAAACTTAACATTTTCTTGAACTCAAAATAATTAAAAAACTTAAATATTATTCAAACATACTTTGATAATAGGATTTGTAATAATTGGGAATTAAGCCAGCATCAATAAGACTTCTTACATCATCTTTCTTTCTCTGTGATATATCCAATTTACGCTGATACAGAGGTTTGATTTCTGAAGGACGACTATTTCTATTGGATCTTTTATTTAAGTCAAGCTCTTTAAAATCATCAAAGTAAGATGTTTTGTAGCTAATTTTTATGTCTTCATGTTCGTTTTTCTCAACTTTGATTACTTTTAAATTAGACAGTTTTACAACTTGGCCGTCTACGCTCTTATTCAGCCTCGGAACCGGTAATTGTTTTATATCCAAGAAATCGCCATAGCTCATTTCATTTACAACGAAAGGTGTCCCTCTTTTTTTTGCGCTTCGAATAGCAAAAATATATTGCGAAGGTACGTATATTGGTCCTGACTTAAGACATCTTTTGACTTGTTTTTCAATCAAAGAATGTACAGCGTCTCCTTCGTTTTGAGTATGACCACGTATTAGAAATTTGTGGGTAATAGATTTTATTTTTAAATTTAAGACAGCATGTATGTACATCCCAATAATGAACTGGTTTTTTTGCTGTCCACAACAGTTATCAGAATAAAAGATGACATTCAATTCTTCATCAGCAGTTAGCGACTTTTTCTGTAGATACTTTAAAATACAACTACCTATCTCATTAGCTCCGCGATTTCCTTGTGTTTCATCCCAAAAGAAGCATTCAGTTTTGTCCTGTTTGAGTTCAGAAATAGTGAAATTTAAGCAATTTACTTTAGACTTGTAATAAAAAGTTGATACCTCACCATTTGGAACTGGCATTACTGCTTGCAAGTCATAACATGCCACAATAAAACTGTGCGATACCTTCTCTTTATCATTAGCCTTTTCCTCGCGACTCTTTTCTTTTTCAGCCAAATGTCGCTCATAATTTTCTTTTTGTGCAACTTTTTCACAACCTTCAGCAAGCTTGTATTTAGTACATTGCTCACATTGATCCTTCTTTGGTGCAAAAAACCCAATATTAAACTCCTCGTTAAATATTTTTCGATATGTGTGTATCATTACATAGGGCGATCTTTGTTGTATACAGTCTTCTTTGTAATCAAAATAAATTTCTGTTAAGGTTTTTCCGCCATCTATATATATTCCCTCGTTGTTTGTTTCCGCAAATAATGACTTTCAATTCGAGGTATACTATTGATGTGACGTTTTACTCCTTCTGTCAAGTCAATTGGCACTTTCCGATGTTTTCCATGTTTACCTCTTTGTTCACCTTCTAGTATACCAGTCATATTATTTTTCTTCTCAATAACTGTTCTGATACATCTATCTGTTATATTTAATGTATTTTTAAAAAATGTTTTACATATTTTGCTTTTAGTACCATTGACATCAAAATAGAACGCACTTTTTAACTTTCTAGTCGAATCTGCTTTCTTGTATTGATACTTTGGATGGATCTCTTCTATATTACGCGCGATATATTCTCTTTGTCTGATCAGCGAAGCCATTCCCCAATAATCATGGAATAATCGTTTTCTTGATTCCTCATTAATTTTTTCGGGGCATTTCAGGCGACAACGTAATCCACAAGAACTTTTTATAGTTTTAGCTTGGAACACTTTTTTTGATCTAGAACTCGAAACATATTCTTGTCCAGAGTCTTTTAAAGACTTAACAGTTTTGGCATATCGTTCATTTTTTTTTTGTTTCCTAGGTTTGTCGATCCCATTTCCAACCGCAGATGGAATATCCTCCACGACATTATTATTTGCAATTCGAACATTTTCATTATCTGTTATAGTTAACAACTCATCACCAACATCGTTAGATATAACATGTTCATTAAAATCCTCGTTAAAATAATTTGAATTATTCTCATTTATAATTGTCGTCAAATCACCACCATTTTTACTTACTACTTCTTCATGTATGATTATTTCGTTTTCATTAGAAAGTTCTGCATTTTTTTCATCTACGTAAGCTACAGATTTAGTTAAAGAATGTGAGGAAGCACTTGAAGAACATGTAGAAGATCTTGTAGAACAGGAGCACGAGCTGGAAGAAGATGAAGATCTGGAAGTAGATGAAGAGCTAGATTTACGGCATCTTTTTTTGGGGGGTGCGTATGTTCTGTCATCATCCGAAACGGGTGAAAAGTCACCGCTGTCATCACTGGATAAGTTTTCTTTGTTAAACGAAGCGAAGTCCTTGCTGGATGTTTGCAAATGGTTGGATTTAGTTTCTGTAAAAACTAAACTTCGGCATCTTTCTTCCATTTTTTCAGGTACTGGATTTTGACTACCTTTTTGAGCAACTAATTGTAATATTCTTCTACTTCTACTGTGTGAATTGTCCATGATTATAACCCCTTAAACAAAAAAAGTCTATGCACTTAGCAATATTTTGATGGTGTATTTAATATTAAAATCATGTAATTTTTCAACAAATAATCACAGTTATTTATGTTACATTATTATAAAACGACTACACACGAGAAACTGCAAAAATATCTTTTATTTATTAAAATACAGCATGATTGTCCTATTATTTTTACTAAAAGACTGACATTAAACTAAATTTGACATTTATCTAGTTACAAAAAACAGTATAATTTCATTCCAATCTTTAGAAAAAATGGCACTTAACGAAAAATGCTATTATTTAATTCATTGATATAAGAACTTAGTCATTTAGGTTATTCAAAAACCGACACTATACTTAAAATGCCAGTTTTTCATTCATTAACTAGGCAGAATAATTACATAATTTACGTAAAAAACCGGCACTAAAGAAAAAATGTCACTTTTTTACTTACCACGACGTGCTTCTCCTTCAACAATCCGCCGAAAACAGATAGAGTGCCACTTTTGAAATCACCACTTTGACAAAACACCTAAAAGTCAAAAGTGACACTAGCGACTTCTAGGAGAAACTATGCGAGCTATTAGAACAGGAGTCTTTGCAAAAGGAGCGTTAAGTCAAAAGTAATGCAGATGTCGCTATAACTAAAAATTGATGTTTTCAGTATAATGCCACTTTTGTTTTCACAGTGCGATATTATTAAGCTGATAATGAGGAAATTCCTAAGCCCCAATCAATATCATCACTCATAATTAATTTAATGCATAGAAATATAAATAAGCTTTATTCTCAGGATTTACAAGTTACACACAAATATAAATTATCAATAGAGAGAATGGTGTAAATTACAATTTACAATGGTTGCCGTAACAACCTACACTTAACATAAAAGTAATATTAAATTATAATAATAATAACAGTGACATTTAGATTCAGATAAGAGCCCTCAATCTCCCCGCAGGTCAGCTTGAAGGTATTCTTTCACTTTGTATGGTTAAAGGTATATGAGCAACTGTTGAACACACTTTCTATATTTATGTCAGTTTCTATTTTGATGCTGTAAGGCAGTTTATTAAAGAATTTATTACATTCATATTCTGTGGTTTTCTCAGATGATGTTAGTCTATGTATTGGTATATTATAGTTTATGATATTGTAGTATTAGTATTATGGTTTGTTATGTGTTTCAAGAATTTATGTCTATTTTTAAAAATGAATAGTAAGCATTCATATAATGTATGTTCCAGCGATTGTTAGTATGTTTAGCTTTTTGAAATTACCTCTACATGAATTCCTGTATTTCAAGTTAAGTAGAGTTCTGATTGCTCTTTTTTGTAATATAAAAACCTATTCAGCGTTACCACTTCAACTAATATACAACTCATTTACATTTTTCGTCCAAATAATTTGCTGTTATTCCAAAAGAGTAGCAGATAGGTGCTAACCTGTTACAGATCTCATTTATAGGCACTTCAAAATCTAAATTTTGGTCAATATGTACCCCCAGAAATTTTATGCTTTGGTTTAGAGTAACCATTTGCAATTGAATTTAGACAGTTTCTGGTAAGGTACTATTATTTGTTTTAGTAACAAAACATATAATTTGTTTTTTCTCTGTTCAGTATAAGTTTATTCATTATGAGCCATTTCTGGGCTTTATCTAATCTATTTTTAGTGATATTCAATAAATTATTCAAGGATGACCCTATAGTTAACATGTTAGTATCATCTGCAAATTCCACAATAAGAGTATTCTGATTGTTATGTGTAATGTCTAAAGCTAAATCATTTACATAAAAAACAAAGAGAAGAGGACCCATAATACTTCCCTGAGGAATGAGACCTTCACCAGAGAAGTAGTTTCTTCCTTCATACTCAAATTTTACTTTCTGTTTACTGCTTGATAGGTATAATTTTATCCAATTATAACCTGGCCTTCTAATGCCATATCTGTAAAGCTTTTCCATTAGTATTTTGTGATTTAAAGTATCAAATGCCTTTGATAAATCTAATAATATGCCCATGGATATATCTTTGTTTTCATAACCCTCATTTATCTTTGTTATAAAATCATAAATGGCAGTCTATAGATTTTCCCTTAAGGTACCCATGTTGTGCATGGCATAACAGTCCCTCACTATAGAAAAAACTGAGAAGCCTGGCAAACATGACTGTTTCAAAAATCTTAGAGAGTGATGGTAAGAGGCTTATTGGACAATAATTTTCTAGTAAAGTGGCATCATCTTTTTTATACACTGGTTTTACTACAGCTATTTTTAAGTTGTCTGGAAATATCCCATTTATGAAGGTATTGTTTATTATATGACATAATGGTATAGCTAACTCATATGCACACAGTTTTGTGTGCATATGAGAATTAATTTAATTACTTCATTTATAGTTACTGGCATTAGAAAAAATGAGTTTTTGTTAAACTGTATTTTGGTGCTGAATTCTATTTTTAATATATTTTCTAAAAGATGACATGACTGGATCTCCTAGTATTGCTACATTATTATCGATAGAATTTACCGTGTGATTTCTTTAATGATTTTCCATAGACTTTTTGACTTATTTTGACTATTGTATATTTCTTGACCATACTGCATTTTTTGTGAATCCACAAGCATTTTATTATACTGACTTTTTGTTTGTTTGTACTACTCATCTTTGTAATGGTCATCTACTCTTCTTAACATTAGCAAAAGGTCTAAGCGATTTTTTTATTAATTTATTTCATTTGTATTATAGTATTTGTTAGGTTTTTTATGTCTATATTTTTTCTAGAAAGCATTGGACAAATAACAAAGAAATGATTTTCATAAATACCACCCATTGCTTTTCTATATCCCAATTTGGTACTGAAAAAAGATCCTACCAGTCTTCATCTTACAGCATTTGCCTAAAATTTTCTTTACTGTGGGAATAAAAAATTCTTTTATAGACTGCCAGATAGACTGCAGGAAAATCAATAATTGACCAGATTCATTCATTAAAGACATCCTCAAGAAGACATTAGAATTTAACATTGAAACCCATCACCTATTTGTCAAATTGAAGGCTGCATATGATCTTGGTATGCCATTGTAACTTAAAAGCAAGTCTAAGCATACAGGGAGAAAATTCTGGAGCTTTTGAGATAAAGGATCAACTTCACTAGGAGATGAGCTGGCGTGCCTTCTAGATTTTCGATAGATTGATACAAATCTTAGTATACACTGATGACATTATAGGGAGTAGCAAGTGAGATGTTGAGCAATATTTTGTAGTCTTGGAAACAGCAGCGAAACAGGTCAGCCAAGTCATCAATAAAACCAAAAACATGCTGGTTACTAATGATCCTGGAGCAAATGAGGAATGGGAAAACAGTCTTTGAATGTGTTGAATGTGTTGACAGCTTCACATACCTTGGCTCAGTGGTTACTACTACCAACAAATCCAGCAAAGAAATTAAAAAGTTTGATTGTTTTATGCCTTTTCCAGATATTGTGGTCTTTTCATCAGTTATTATATTGGGCATTTCTGTTAAAGATTCTTTGTATTCTTTTTTAAACATTTCTGTAAGGAAGTTCACCCATGTATCATTCTTTGTGTGTGATATTTCCACCTGTTCTTTCATTTCGTCTGGTTGCCCATAGAAATCCATCTATAGTTCTTTTGTGAATCTTTCCAAGTAGTCTCTTTTTGTTTTTGTTACCAATCAATAAGTTTCAGTTCAATTCTCTTATATTCTAGTTTTGTTTTATTTATATTTTAGGGAAGCTTTCTTTTTTTGGTTACATTTTTGTTTCATCTCTAAAGTAAACCAAGGTGTTTTTGTTTTTTGTTGACCGTTTTTATTTTTGTGTATTTTTCTCATTCCACAGGCTCCAGAATATTTTTCTGAAAGTTGGTGAAAAGCTTTCACCTGCTTATTTCTATGATGCTTCCATTTTCATCATTTTCTAATTTTATCTTCTGCTTAGCCTTTTTTGATGTAAGGATTTTATTGAATTATTTCTTCTTTATTCATTTGTCCACTCGTCTCTTTCAATCTTTCATTAAGGGCCGGTTCTACATTTCAGGTATAAACTGGAGAATAGTTATTCTGAGTATAACTTATACTTGAGTTTATTCCAAGTATAAACCTTTCGAGCGTTCTACATTGTGAAATCGACAGCGGAATAGTTATTCTGGGTATAACCACAGAACACTAAGGTAAAACGAAATAGTAGATCTGATGTCTTCAAAATTAGTTCAAATTGTTATTGACAGCGACATTTGGCATTTGTCATAACTGTAAAATTTGTTTACAATTAAAAGGAATTGAATAATTGATTCGCTTTATCTGGTATTTTATCTACGTTTATATTATTATACTTTTCAAAATTAATATAAAATGGATAAAAAAGATGTAAAATTTCCTTCTTAAATTTTTTGTTATCATCAACTGAGATTAGTGTTATAATATAATAACCAAAATTATGTAAATATATCTATATAGGTATACTCCACATTTTAAAAAAGTATAAATATTGGATTACAAAATAAATAATTTTAGTTAAAGAAATGTTTATATAATACAGATTCTAGAATTACAGTCTCTGTTATCAAAACATAAAAAAATATATTGCCTTGGTAAGATTATACCTATACTAGGTATACTAGTCATATGTGTAGACGTTATTACATTACAACATATCCTAAAATTTTAGAATTGAAATAATAAATGCTTTCTTTTTCCTTTGGATTGCCTAATAAAATTTCCTTTGGATTACAATCTAAAATGTTTGTGCAATATCAAAAATTTTATTTTATATATAAAAACAAATAAAGTGAGGTTAAAATATTACAGATTTGACAACCCCTGACCGACCAATAGAAATGCAGTATAAATTTATACTCGGTATATCTGCTAAACTTTGGAGGGATAAAGTTATTCTACAGATATACTCCGATTATCTTATTCCTAGTTTATTCTTTGTTTGTAGAATACCATTAATGAAGTTATTCCAAGTATAACTTTATTCTCAGTATATACTAGCATTGTAGAACCGGCCTTTAATCTGATTTTATCAGATATTAAAGATCAGTTTCTTCCAGTATTGGGTGATGTCTGGCTTCTCATAGCCACTATCTTTTAATGGCATATTTTTCTGCACAACAATGCGATATTTAGATTATTATCTTTCCAAAATCTTCTCTTAGTATCTATTCAAGATATTCTACAGCAAATTCTGTTTCTTGTGTGAACAGTCTTTGACTTTTATACACTTTTTTTCCTGTACAACTGGTAGAACCTAACATGCTGGTCTGTGTTCTAATATGGAGCTATAATAATAGTAAAAGAAGCTATGACATAAATATTCTTGTTCTACATCAACTATTCTGCCATTTATATGTTGCAACCTTTTCTAAATCTTACAGGAAAAATTTCTATGAACCACACCATCAGAGTTTGGCCAGGACATCTTCAGATGTTGAAAATTTCAGAACCAGAATGGATATCATCGTTAGAGGAAGTGATATACCACAACCAAACTTTTGTTTCGAAGAAGGCAAATTTCCAGAATACATCATGCAGGTTCTGTTGAAACAAGGATTCAATGAACCCACTGCTATCCAATCACAAGGTATGATTTTTTTAGTTGTTTATTATGTTCACCAGATATTATTTATTTTAAATTATTTGATTTGGTGTTTGGTTGGACCAACATTATCGCTCCATAGTTTGTTTTTACACATTATTAAACTTCTTTATATTTCAAAATAATTTCACCCTGTATATTTCAAAAAATTTTAAAATGTAGCTTTTATCAGCGTACAAACTAACTAATAATTTAAAATTTTTTTACTGTTTCGCTGTTCGTTAGTGGTGATTCACCCTATATAGAAGGAAAAATTTTTATGTATGTAATTGTTGTTATTACTTACATGAAAATAGATTTAAAGTTGCACTTGTTTTTTTAGTTACATTTTATCTAAAATGTTAGTATATATGTAATGTTAAACAACAGTAAAATTTAACTATTTATTACTATAACATTAGACCTATAATAATTACATACCTATATCTGTCAATTAAAGAAACAAGTATTTATAATGCATTATTTTGTATTCAACTATACATATCGTTTTATTAGTGAAGTCAATTAACTACAACTACAGTGATGACTACAGCTCTGATTAGAATGAATCATATTATATCGACAATCTAGTAGCAACATGTGCCTGAGAGTTTTGGCAACATAGTCGCAATGTTATTTTCTTAACTTGAAACAAACTATAGAATCTTATATTACAAAGAAACTTGTACTGGTCAATACTTTTTTCTTATTTGCTTTAGTGAATATTACATTAGCAATGCCAAAGCCATAAAGATCAAAGAACAAGTTTGTATATAGAAGTAAAACTTTTAATTTATCTTACTTAACTTATAATTAAAACAAATTTATCTACTGACTTGGATGTAGTAGTGAATGATTTTTTCCTTATCTAGGTTGGCCCGTCGTACTATCCGGTAGAGATTTGGTAGGAATTGCCCAAACTGGTTCTGGCAAAACTCTAGCTTATATGATACCAGCTGCAGTGCATATAAATCACCAACAAAGACCACAAAGAGGAGAAGGACCTATCGCACTAATTCTTGCTCCAACTAGAGAGTTGGCACAACAAATACAAAAAGTAGCCCACGAATTTGGCACTACTACGATGATTAGGAACACATGTATATTCGGTGGCTCTCCTAAAGGACCCCAAGCCAGGGATCTGGAGAGAGGCGTGGAAATTGTGATAGCAACTCCAGGAAGATTGATAGATTTCTTGGAAAAAGGTACTACCAACTTGGCGAAGTGTACTTATTTAGTTTTGGATGAAGCAGATAGAATGTTAGATATGGGTTTTGAACCTCAGATTAGAAAGATTATCCAACAAATTAGGCCGGACAGGCAGGTCCTGATGTGGTCCGCTACATGGCCCAAACAAGTACAACAGTTAGCTGAGGAGTTCTTAGAAAATTATATTCATGCAAGTTTTAATTTTACCGTTATCTGTATTTATTTGCATTTTGTTTAGTTTTTTTACATTTTAGACATTAATAATAGCAAATTTAAATGTTATTTTGGCATAATTTGCCATCTGGAGAATATTCATCTGGATAGGCGTTCTGTTGTGAAGGCTGTCTATAAATGTCAAAAAAAATCTATGTATATTCTATTCTATAATCTATATATTCTAAAGGGCGCATCATTTTCTCCATAGGTCAATGTTGGAGGTCTCTCTCTATCTGCAAACCACAACATAAAACAAATAGTAGAAGTTTGCGACGAACTAGAAAAGGAAGAAAAACTTATTAGGTACCTGAAGGAGTTCGGTTCTGACAGACAAAACAAAATAATCATCTTCGTAGAAACCAAGAAGAAGGTGGATGATATTACAAAAGTTGTCAAGAGAGAAGGTAAGTGTATATTTATTATTCTTAATTTTTTCTTAACATTTGTTCAGTCTATCAGTGAGTGTCTTATAAACATTGTCGAAAGCGGTCTTGGATGTTACTTGGATGTTACACTTGTATGTTACTAATGAAAGAGGATCGATTATTGATGATTTTTCCTTAACTTCAAACTGGTGTGTTTGAATATGTTGGTTTAATTCCTCATATAATTTTCCGTGGAGAATTGTCTTAACAATTTTTCCTATTACTGAAAGAAGAGTGATTGGACGGTAATTTGTGGTTAGTATTAGGTTCAGGAATTAGTATTACAATACCCATCTTCCGTAGTTGTCGATTTTTTGTTAATATGATCTTTTCCTTTATTCCACCATCACACAATATTGTTCTTTGTACTTGTTGATCATTTAAACAATATCAAACTGCCTGATTCTCCTATCAAATTTGACTCTATATGCCTCTATACTTTCTTCATCTTGAAATCGTAGGCTTCCACGGCCAGAGTCAGAATTATAGTTTATTCGTCTTCCGGTTTGGACCGTGTCATTTGTGAGTGACCCAAAAGTGGGTTCATCTCGACGTTTCGCTACAATATGTATGTAGCTTCTTCAGGAGAACAAAAAAAGAAAAAGAAAGAAAGAAGAAAACAAAAGAACAGAAAGATGGGTAGTTAGCAACGGTAACTCAGTTACTCAACGCAACCAGAGGCGAATACAGTGACCAAATGCCCATCTTGGTAGTTAGTATTCGCCTCTGGTTGCGTTGAGTAACTGAGTTACCGTTGCTAACTACCCATCTTCCTGTTCTTTTGTTTTCTTCTTCTTCTTTTTCTTTTTGTTCTCCTGAAGAAGCTACATACAATTGTAGCGAAACGTCGAGATGAACCCACTTTTGGGTCACTCACAAATGACACGTCCAAACCCGGAAGATGAATAAACTATAATTTTCTTCATCTTGTCGTCGTTTTCCGAACTAGAGCTTGATGTATCTATCTATAAATTCTTTTACTTACAGTTTTTTGTTTGTTTTTAAAAATACACTCTTAAATCTTTTATGCCGTTCTTGTAAACCAGAAGGCCCAGCTTGATCATCCTTATTTATTAAAAAAAAAAAAAAAAAAAATTAATTTCGGGAAGTTTCAGCACATCTTTATGTGCTTTACGACATTCAACCAGTTACGCTGAATACTTTTTGCTACACTTTACTCCTCGTTTGACGTGAAAAGTTATCGATCGAGCCTTTTTTCAAGTTTGCAAGTGAAAAAATCGCTTTTTTATAATATGCCTTTTTCCCTTCAAACAAATTACTGTTTCTCAGCTCCTCAAGATGTTCTAAAGTTTCAATTTTGATCTCATCGTTAGTTGCAACACTTGGTCCTCCCGAGTCATTTTTTCAGGTTTGGAAACTAAAAATTTTACATTTAATTAAATCTGGTCAAAAAAACACATTATAATATTCTTTCACAACAGTTTTTACAGTCATGTTTGAGCTCCTTAAGATTTTGTAAGGGTTTTTTTATGGCCTCAGCGTTAGTTCCAACATTTGCTCCTCCGAGTCATTTTTAAAGGTTTGATATGGGAAGGGGCTCGTATATTATAGATTTCACCAATAATTTCGGGAGTGATTTTGCTGTGGTAAAACTTAAAGACTATTTTAATTTCACGATTATAAATTTGATGTAAATTGCGGCACCGTTTATTTCAGGATTTTCTGCAATTTCAATGCACGGAGACAAGTCACAGCCCGAGCGTGATTACGTATTGAACGAGTTCCGTTCTGGTAAATCGTCCATTTTAGTAGCCACCGACGTTGCGGCTAGAGGATTGGACGTCGAAGATGTCAAATATGTAATAAACTACGATTACCCCAATTCCAGTGAAGACTACGTTCATCGTATCGGTAGAACGGGACGTTGCCAACAAGCAGGTAATAATTCACACATCCTTACATTTGTTTCTTTATAGAGATCGCTAAAATGGTAGTATCATGTTATTGCAACTGACGATTTATTACAGGTACTGCATACGCTTTCTTTACTCCAAATAACCAACGCCAAGCCAAAGACTTGATAGCTGTATTGGAAGAAGCGGGCCAAGTAGTGAACCCACAACTGCTCGACTTAGCCCAGCAAGCCAAGAACACCAATCCTAAGCAACACCGTTGGCAAAATAGAAATAAGGACAATTCTTCGCCTAGCAGTCAAAATTCCGCCAACAAAGTGAAGACTTGGACGAACTCGAAGAGCTTCGGCGAGTTCAAGCCCAACAGCGGCCCTAGAATTACCAATAACATGAGAAACGATGCGATGCAGAGAAACCAGAGGAACAATTACAATAACTTCTCACATTACCAGAACGGACAGGTCTACCAACAGTCGTACAGCCCCAACAGCATGTACCAAGCGCAACAGCAAACCCAGCAACAGCCGATTTCTAACGGAACTCCCAGAAACTATGGTAAGGACTATTATGGTGCCTCCGTTTTATTTGATTCTGACAGACATTACGAGTCTCCCAAGGAGTACCATTGTAAGTAGAATATTACGAAATTATTCTAGTTACTATCGTTACTAATTTCTTTGGACTGTACACCATTCTACTAAATCTTATCATTCCTCATTTTCGCTTTTTTTTTTTATTTGTACAAGGTGTTTCCGAAGTGATGGACGATCTGTTCTTAAATTTTAGGACTAAAATTCTTATAAATGTGTAATAAGTTTTGTGAAATTGTAAAAACCGCTACAACTCACTTTTACAATTATCAATAGCTGCCTTGAAAGTAGTTTTTATCGTTAGTAATTTTTTTAATTTCGATTTTAAACCTTTAGAATAGAAATATGCTTTATTGTCACTGAAAATTGTGCAATTTTATGGACAAAGCTTACAAAAAATAAAAAAAAAATAACAATAACAATTTAAAATTTACTAAAATTACATAAATCGTCAATATAACAAAATAAACTAAAAAAAATTTAACTAAACTGCAAATTTCATAATAAAACCCTATGAACTAGTTTACGAATAAGTTTTTAGTTGCTGCATCTGATACCCAAATATATATAAAAAAAATTTAGAGGCCAAAAAGATACCTTATTGAGCTTTTTGTAATTTAAAAATATCATCCGATTGGGCAGCTGTACTAGAACCCCAAAAAGGAAGGCCATGTCGAAGATGATACTCGAACAAAGAAAAATATGTTATTTTGGAAGATGCTAAAATTGTAACAATAAAACACTGAAAACTTTGTTTTCAAACTTCCACAAAAAATTTATTTTAAATATTATCACTACAGCTGTTTCGGCTGATTGCCTTACTCAAGTGCTAAAATTGATTTCATTTGAAACAGATCTTACTGCATAGCAGGCTGGGGCTGGTTTATTTCTAAACAAATCGATATGAAGGAGCCATTTAAGGTTGCTGTTTATAAAACTACCAAGAAATTTTACAAAATCAATGATACTGATCTGGTTGTTATTAAGAAGCAAAGGTTGAATAGCTTCTTTATAGGATAATGCTACTGTTTTATCCACGTTAAAAGAGAGTCGGACTAGGTTTTATTTTTAAGTTGATCAGAAGTTATAATTACATGAAGAGTTGCAATATTAGAGTTCCTCCAGGTAATACTGGTATCATCAGCTAAAAGAAAATTTTCCCATTGATTTTTAAGTTCGTGATGTCATTTATAAAGATATTGAAGAGTACAAGACCCAATACTGAACCTTGTGGTACTCCACATACAATGCTTTTGTGGCTAGTCAGTATAATTTGTTCTAACTAGTTGTTTCCTATTCCTCTAGTAAGATTGGAAATGTCTTGATTTACACAATCAAAAGCTTTGACATAGTCACAAAAAACAGTGACAGTGTAAAGATTATTGTTTAGTGCTTAGTACAGAAAACCTACCTAGCGCTTAGTACAGAAAACCTACCTTGCATCACTGGTACATTTATTAGATAAAAAGCCGAACTGACTTTGTGATAAAATGTTATTTGCAACGAGAAAGGACATAAATCTAGCCTTTATATGGCTCTCAATAATTTTAGATAGGACCAGTAGTAAGGCAGTAGGAAAAATGGAATGCAGACATTCCATTTTTCACCACCCCTATGGAGTGAAATAATAATGGCGGTCTTGAGGAAGTCTGGAAATATACCCTTTTCAAAAGAATCGTTAATTAGTGAGACCAGCACTCCCAACACATTTGTTGGGAGATTCAAGGATAGATTGCAATATTTTTATGGATAGTCCATCAGTATTACAGGAAGATTTGCTTTTGATACTACTGATTGTTTGCATCATTTCAGATTTATCATTTGGTTTTACAAATAATGAATTCGAGACCTTTTTTGAATTGGGGAGATAGAAAATAGGATCTTGTTGGGACAAAATAGCTGTTGTTATATTTTTTACTCACATTAAGGAAGTATTCATTTAGATTTTTAGGGTTTGGAAGAGAAAATGTTTGAGCTGTGTTAGTTTTATTTCGAAGATCATTTATTATGGACTAACTTTCTCTTGCAACATTTTTAGAGCTTCCCAGACGATTCTGATAGTACATTTTTTTAGCTATTTTGATAAATTTTAGATAGGTTCCTCTGTGCTTGGAGATATATTCAGTGACAAAGATGTTGGTAGTAAATTTCTTAATGAACAGTAGTGAATGCATATTCTTGGCTGATATGCAGATATGTTTGGTAGTCCAGAGTTTGTGATGTTTTGACTAATTGTAATTAAAGGAAATGCCTTTAATCAATTACCTTTATATAATATCAACACGAAACAAATCTTTTTGCACATTTTTATTGGAAATCTATTAATTTTAATTTTTAATGAAGTGTCGCCTATGAAAATATTTCATATTGCTTTGGAAACACTCTGTACTTTTACAATCTTTAGATTTGTTAATCTAAAATTGTGTATATCTCGAAGAAGTGCCACCTTACAGCAATTATAAATTAAACGATAAAAGTAAGTCGAAACACAACATTTGCCCATTTCGAAATTACAAACACGAAGATACATTTGATCCTTCCAGCCATTTTTTATGGTTTGGAAGCGAGAATCTGGCTCAGAACATTTTATAATATTCTTTTACAACATCTTTATTTCTTTGACCGCTATTTGGTTCGAGCTCCTTGAGTTTCGACTATAATATCCTCATCCATTGCAACATTTGCTTCTTGGAACCACTTTTTTAAAGTTTGGGAACTAGAAATTTCATAATGGGCTTAATCTGATTCTTGAGACCACTTTTTTAACGTTGTGGAACTAGAAATGGTCAAGATGGGTTAAATAAGGCGAATAAGGTGACTGTTTCCCTCAAATTGGTAACGAAAAGGTCTAATAAACTGCATTGTACACGGCGGTTTTTTATACTTTCTTTTTCAAGCGACAAATGTGAATTATATCTTTCACATCTCGCAAAACAGTCTCCATCTTGTCTGACCTCCTTCGGTGGCCCTTTCCTATGTTTTCTCTACTATTTCGTCTTTGGTGTCTAGAAATGGCCCACGTTATATTAAGATTCACGTATATGCGAAAAAAAGAATGATTCGGGTAAAGTTTTATCGTGTCCCAAAATTATTTTGTTTAAATTACTCAAGATTCAGTAACGTTTCGTCTATGATATGATCGTTTGTTCCAACAATTCGATTTTGGAACCACTTTTTGTAATGTTTGGGAACTAGAAATGATCACATTGAACTAAATCTGGCGGCTCTTCGCTATGTTTTATCTTTGGAGTCTACAAATGGACCCACGTTTTAAGATTCACCTATATGCAAAAAAAATGTTTTTGGTTGTACTTTCAAGATTAGCTCGTTTGTTGCAATATTTCGTTCTCTGAATCACTTTTTTTAAGGTTTGAGAGGGAGAAATGTCACAATGGGCTAAATGGCGAATAGGGTGGGTGTTTGCTCAAACCGGCGATGAAATGGCTGAATAAAACTGCACAGTACTTTCCAATTACTGTTGTACCGTTTTTTAATTCATCAATATTAATAAATACTTGTGTCTCTACTGCTTGAGCTGTTTTCTCGTCTTCTGTGTGCTAAAATCAATTACTTTTTAATCGTGAGTCACCAATCGGCGAAAAAATGAATTTTATTGACGATTTCTGGAGTAGTGATGGCTTCGAGAGTACGTACTGATATAAAAACCAAAGAAAATGAAAAGAACTATTTAATTTTTGATCTTACAAGAAAGGTAAGGTGGCAATTCTCTGTGAATATTATTCCATTTAAAATTATTTCGCCATTTTCATTATTTACAATATATTTTATAAGATTTACTAATTTTTTTGGTGTCCGTTTTTAATGATATCGTTATTAACACTATTTTTAACAAGGGTATTGTCTTTCACAATTGAATGAACTTATTTTTAGGTAGTTAGCTTTAAAATGACGTATTTGTCAAAGTAAACCGTCCAAGTATTAAAATTTTAATTATTTACTCACAGGTGTAATTGATTGTTCATATTTTTGCTAGAATTAACAACGAACCGATGTTGGTTTCAGTGGAATAAAAAAATTTCTTTAATTGCCTGTACTGACAACTTTTTCCAGGTTCTTCAGTCTAATCTAACTTAATTATCCCCACAAACAAGAGTGTTTGTACATAACAGCAGGACTGTGGCGGTTTGTGATCTTTCTTTTCGCTCTTTGCATCTCTCATGTCCAGACTTTTCGATCAAATACATAGCTTTGGACCATTTTTTTAACTTACTGTTTCTATATTAAACTGTGTAATTAGAAACACTTTATACAGAGATGTATATTTGTTGAAGACATTCTTTCGTTCGATAAGAGATGCTGTTGTTAGATCGTTTTATGTTTCTAGAGATGGTACCACTGTTTGATGAATAAGTGTGAAATTTCATGTAGATCTGTCAGTTTGAAACAAGTTCCTGGACGTTTGTTTTAAGAAGTAGCAGTATCATAGCAAAAATACAGTATATAGTCATACTACAGTATCTCATTAGACAGTGTAAGCGATATTTTCACTAAAGTTTTAGATTTCAGAATATGTGGGTAGAGTTGGTGCCGCATTCGCTAACGATGTAACACACATTCATTCGAGTGCACCTATTCAGTAACATTGGGAGCATTTTAGAAAGAATGAAACGAATTTTTGGGCGCCATTTCATCACAATGGTGATGCTTGTGTGTTCCGCAGTGATTCTAAATCAAAATAAAAGGCTAAGTAGTCGTTTAAAATTTCGTACCTCGGTCCCAAAGCGAATTAGGATTCAGAAACCGATCGATGGCGGTTTAGTAGAAGTTTTTGAGGATGCAAAAGGAATTTTGCTTGTGGATTATCTCCAAAACTGGTAAAACAGTAAACTCATATTGTTACTGTAACAAAGACAGAATTGGTTTACAAAAAAAAATCGATCAACGCTTCCAATTACATCACTCAAACAACCATCTTGCAGAATTCACTTTGTTCGCCAGATTTAGCCCCCTCTGAGTAAATTCTATCACTGGAAACGATTTTTATCGAATTGAGAGTTAATAAGTCTTCAGGAATAG